CGAATTCCCTCCAAAATAATATCACCGAAAAAATTTTTTTACTTTTGAGTTGAACCTCCCTTTATTCCTATCTTATATATATATATATATATACATAGTATAAAATTCTATTTTATTTTTTTTCATGACTCAGGAGCGCGTAAACAATAATAGTAACTATGCGTTCGTGTTAGAGGATCCTTCTAAACCGAGAAAATATCAACTCAATTTCAACCTTGGCTCCGAATACGTTAAAGATTTAAAGCATATACCGGTTACAGCAATGGATCATCACAATCCTCAACAGCAACGTCACGCTGATCTTTTACCGAATCGTCAACCTGTTTCTTCGATCACTCTTCCGCCTATAAGAGAATTGATACTTCCTCCTTTATCTTCAATAAATCATCAACAACCTCATTCTCATGTTCAACAAGAATCTATACCTTTGTCTTCGAGGCCGCATCTTCCCCCTTTACAGCATTCTTTCGACCCTCCTCAAAATCCTTCTTCATACAACTATCAAACTGCTATAAACGACCGTGCTAATGATAATCATACTCAATTCTCTCCTCCAGAGGTTGCTCATTACCATCCTCATCATGGTTATCCTACTGCTAATAATGTTAATCATCATTATCAACATCCATCTGTCTCTCACCATCATCACCACGTGTCGCAACAACCTTCTCAAGTACCTCATCTACCGCAGGCACCACCTCTTCCTCATCATCAAACATATCAATCTCAGCAACCTCCATTACCACATCTATATCAACAACAACAGCCGTTGCCACAGAACTCTAATCATGTGCATCATCAGCAACAGCATTCACAATTACATCATCATCATCATCAATCTCATGTATATAATAATGAAATTGTTCCTGAAAGAAATCAACATGATTATCAACCTTCTTCTGTTTCGGTCGGTTATAATCGTCAACCGTATTATACTCAAATTTTGAATGATAATGGTCCTTCACAAATGATCGCTTCTCAACCTTCAAATATGGTTACTCCTTCTCATGACCATCAAATGTCTAATATCAGAAATATTCAGAATATTCAGAATCTTCAAAATATTCAAAATATTCAAACAAGCGATTCTTATCAACTTTCACCACAACAACGGCAACTTCTACCACAACAACAGCAGCAGCAACTTATATCACAACAACAACAACAACTTCCACCACAACAGCAGCAACTTCCACCACAACAACAGCAACTTCCACCACAACAACAGCAACTTCCACCACAACAACAGCAACAACGTGTACCCACTTCAGTTCCTCATAACATGGACAGACGATTTCCAGATTCAATCGCTAATTATTCTCCTCAACCTATACAACCGATGTATAAAAAAGTTCAACAAGCTCCTATAACTGATCTATTGAACTCGTCTCATCAGCCTCCACCTCTAAATCCAGTGTCTCCTCCTAAATCACTTCATTTACAACCTTCTCAACAACAATATCCTCATGAAAATCGTGAAACATCTCCATTTTATTTGGCCCCTCCGTCTCACCACCAATCTGGTTCTAATTCTTCTGTGTCTACTCGTTCTTCTTCTCCTGCTCCAAGTACTCCTGTTGCTTCATTTCTTAGTAGTCCTAATAATAATTTGTCTCAATTTGTTGAAAAACCTATCGATCAAAGTCTTCCACCTAAAAAAACGTAATCGTTCTCAAAAACATCTGAGATCTATAGTTCCTGCTGGTCCTTTACCTGTTCAACAACCGGTAACTGCCCCTACTCAATCACAATCTAATGTTACGAATGATGATATTCCTGTGTTTGTACAGTATGTGGTTCCTACTCCGGATATTGGTTCTCAACCTAACATTTCAAAATCAACAACTCGTCCTCGAAAAAATAGTTTAACCACTTCTAATGGTGTACTTCCATCATCTCAAAAACGTACCAGAAAACCTAAAGATGTATCTGTATCAAAAGATATTACTCATGAAGATAAAAAGAGTCGTTCAATTAATCGTACTTCTTCTGAAATTCCTTCTGAATGTTGTTCGTCTGACATACCAATTCAAAATCTTAAACGTGATTATTCATGCGTTCCAGATTCTCAAATTGTTGAGTCTGATAATAATAATAATAATAATAATAAGAGATATAAGCCATCTCAAGAAATTATTGATGATTCAACTATGATGAATGGCGTTATTGAATCAAAGGATGAAAATATTGAAACTGCTTTGATTTTAAATTCTTTAAAAAATAACATTATTCCTATTTCAAATACTGATACAATGAATGTTGACTCAAAGAACATTGAAATGAAGAATATTGATACGAAGGATGTTGATATGAAGGATGTTGATATTAATGTCGACAAGAATATTATGAATAATAATATTGTTGATACGAATGTTATGAATAATAATATCGTTGATACGAATATTATGAACAATAATATTGTTGATACGAATATTATGAATAAGAATATCATTTCTAATAGTGATATCAATACGAATGAATTAATGGATGGTCAAAAATTAGCTACAAAAGTTAGGCAATTATCAATACATGAGGAGAACCCTGTTAAAGAGGAGAACGATGATGACCCTCAAATGAAATTTCCTATTATTTCTCGTAGTGGTTCTTTTAACTCCTCTAAACGACATCAATCTCCAATTAAAAAGTCCGTTTTGGATATTGATAAAAGGGTTTGTGATGATAATAGTGCCGATAATCGTGTTGTTAACAACATTGTTCATATTAAACAAGAACATGTTCCAATAGACAATCCGGATAATGATTCTGATAACGATCTCGCCATGGATGATGATTCGGATGATGATGAATTCTCTAAACGAAAACAACCTAAACGTGATAACGAACTTGATAATAATGTTCAATGGAATAGTGATGATATGGAAACCGAGGAAGAAGTTGAAGAAGAAGTCGAAATATACCAAACTACCTCTTCCATAAGTGGTAAAGATGATAATCGTAAACAAACGGTCATATATTCTTCTTCACCACCTTCATCAACTTCTTTTTTACAAGGTATTAATCGCGTTAAGGTCGAAGATGTTAAGGATACTTCTATAATAACTGGTACTACGACTATAAAACCCACATTTCCCGTTTCTCCTAATACGAACGGTAGTGGTACTATGTCACGAAAAGCTTCAACTTCTAGTTCTATATCTCGTAAAGGTTCAACTTCTAGCAATGGTAGTAATAAAGATGCTGCATCCAATACACCATGTTCAGATGTTTCAGATACTTTATCTACTTCAACATCAATACCACCATTTTACATATTCAAGTTTCTACTTCGATGCTGAATTGAGCGTTACTTTGGGTACTTTCGATGATTTCG